TCCACCCCATGTCCACTCTGTGTCCACCATGTGTCCACCCCACGTCCACCTCGTGTCCACCCCATGTCCACTCTGTGTCCACCATGTGTCCACCCCACGTCCACCTCGTGTCCACCCCATGTCCACTCTGTGTCCACCATGTGTCCACCCCACGTCCACCTCGTGTCCACCCCATGTCCACTCTGTGTCCACCTCATGTCCATCTCCACCTCCACCCCGTGTCCACCCCACGTCCACCTTGTGTCCACCCCATGTCCATCTCCAAATCCACCCCATGTCCATCCCATGTCCACCTTGTGTCCATCTCCAAGTCCACCCCACGCCCACCCTATGTCCACCCGTGTCCACCTCGTGTCCACCCCATGTCCACTCTGTGTCCATCTCCAAATCCACCCCACGCCCACCCTATGTCCACCCTGTGTCCACCCCACCTCCACCCCATGTCCACTCTGTGTCCATCTCCAATTCCATGCCATGTCCACCTGTGTCCACCTCATGTCCATCTCCACCTCCACCCCATGTCCACCCCATGTCCACCTTGTGTCCATCTCCAAACCCACCCCACATCCACTTCATGTCCACCATAGGTCCACCCCATGTCCACCCTGTGTCAACCTTGTGTCCATCTCCAAATCCACCCCATGTCCACCTTGTGTCCACCCCATGTCCACCTGTGTCCATCTCCAAATCCACCCCATGTCCACTCTGTGTCCACCCCACATCCACCTTGTGTCCACCTCTGTCCACCCCATGTCCACTCTGTGTCCACCCCATGTCCACCTTGTGTCCATCTCCAAATCCACCCCACCTCCACCCCATGTCCAACTGTGTCCACCCCATGTCCATCTCCACCTCCACCCCGTGTCCACCCCGTGTCCACCCATGTCCACCTCATGTCCATCTCCAAATCCACCCCATGTCCACCCCGTGTCCACCCATGTCCACCTCATGTCCACCTTGTGTCCACCTCATGTCCACCTTGTGTCCATCTCCAAATCCACCCCACCTCCACCCCATGTCCAACTGTGTCCACCCCATGTCCATCCCCACCTCCACCCCGTGTCCACCTTGTGTCCACCCCATGTCCACCTGTGTCCATCTCCAAATCCCCCCCATGTCCACTCTGTGTCCACCCCACGTCCACCTTGTGTCCACCTCTGTCCACCCCGTGTCCACCCCATGTCCACCTCGTGTCCACCCCATGTCCACCTCGTGTCCACCCCATGTCCATCTCCACCTCCACCCCATGTCCACCCCATGTCCACCCCATGTCCACCCCATGTCCACCTTGTGTCCACCCCATGTCCACCTCATGTCCATCTCCAAATCCAC